GTGATTCACAAATTCAAAGAAAGGATAAATTTACGTTGTTGAGGGACTCGATACAATCGAAACTTAAAACTGCATACGATAAGAATGAGAGAATATACAATCTAAGGTCAAAATTAAGACATTTCGAGATTGGGCAAGAAGTTATAAGAAGAAACTTTACGCAAAGCTCTAACCTTAAAAACTACAATGCAAAGCTAGCTCCTACGGGAATAAAAGCCAAGGTAGTGCGAAAGTTAGGAAATGTAAGTTATGAGCTAAAAGACATGCTAAGTGGAAGAACCGGAATTTACCACGCAAAGGATATATGGACATAGCATATATAAATACTTCACTATATTACTATTACTATTTTTTTTTTTTTTTAGCATGGAATGATTTGTAACTTTGACTGAGACCAATGTTTTTTTTTATAATAATGGAAATTATATATACTAATTTTTAAAAGGGAATAGTTTTTTGTTAATAAAAGTAGGCCGGGGAGAAAAAAATTGGGAAAAAATAAGTTTTGTCAATTATGGAAAAAATTAGATTTGAAAATTCATTACTGATATAGACAGCAACGAAGCAAGACCAGGAAAATATTTTAAAAAAGAAAGAAAATAAAGGTGTATTTGGAAAAGGAAATACCCATATATATATTTTGAAAACGCTGAGCTATTGTGGTTAATACGAACTCGTGATATTTACATCATCAATTTTTGTGGCAAAAACGCAAATTGAAAATCCAAGATAACGTTCAGCTTTATACAGGCATTTCCAACTTCAATTCAATCATTGGATTTAAAAATATCTAAAGCCATATATTTCGATTGGACCAAGCATTTAAAGGACTGGCTTAAATTAATCTTGCTGTTAAAAAGAATCGAATAAGTTGTCAATCACAATAAATATTAGGCTGGCAAAACTAGTAATGATGAAAATTCCTAACTCCAAGACGGAAACAGGCGCAAACATGCAAAAATAGATTAAGAAATCCGGAACAATATTGCAGCAATCTATTATTATTATTTTGATGGTTCACACACATTTAATTTCACTACATTTTAATGAATCGTGGGGTATGAAATGAAATACTAATTGAATTTACTATAGCAAATTGGCTTCCAGATCCTTCGTCAACAGGCCTGAGGACTACAAAGGATTTTAGAGTTTGGTAAGTCGGATAAAATTTTGTTTTCATTTCATATACTACCACGAAGCAATTTTTTTTTTTTTTTATCTGTCAATTTTACATAACAAAAATATTTTTACTTGACAGTTTTCTTATTATTTATTTTTTTTTTTTTTTTTGTTCTATACTAAAATATTGAAATATTGTCTCATTGTAATCATCAGTGCTATTAGTTTTGCTTGTTGTTGTTAAATAAACGCGTTTTGCTATTAAAGATGAACCATTAAAGGGTATCATTATGCCACGAAAGGAGAAAGAGTTATTTTAGGATGTACAGTTGGGCTGATAGAAAATGAATTATCAGCAGGATGGGAGGGTAAAGAACATAGAGCAACACACTTACATCTGGTGTTGCTTACTTTCAATTAACACCAATTAACACACACACACACCCCAAATGTTACTTACATTCACACACAAACATAACAAAGAGCTACCTTGAAATTTTTACTTTTATGAGATCGTATCTGAATCTATTTCCAAAGGAAAAGAACTCCCCCCAGACTGAGCACGGCCGGGGGCCAGAAGGTGGCGAACTCTGGAGGAAATAGAACCTGAGCGGTGGATCGTCACAACTCGCAAAATATACTTATTTATAAAAAATCAAGAAGTTGTTTTAGTTTTTTATTTTTAAGTTAAAAAATTACCATTTTATTTCTGAAAAACTTTCACTGTTACTTTATTTTTAAAAAAGTTTTAGGTCATTTATTCAGTTGCTTTAAACGCGTTTTTCTCTTTTGCGAATGGCGGGCACGATAACTCAAAAACTAATAATCCAATCGGTTCCAAATTTTGACACGTTTCTCTAGGAGTGTATAGCTCTCGTATGAACTAGGATAAAGCCAATCGGTGAAGAAATTCCTCATTTTTAAACTTAGTTTGTTGATAAAATGATGCGATTTTACAAAAAAAAAAATTTAAAGTTCCGCCATTTTGTTAATTGTTGGACGAAGTCAATAATCCTAGTTCATACGAGAGCCAGACATGTACTCTTTCCAACACCGTTGGATTCCGATGTTCCAGTGAGGAGTTATCATGCCCGCCATCAAAAATAAGGACTTTTCTTTGATCACAAAAAACAACAAGAAAACAACAACAAAAATTTTTTGTAAATTATTTTTCTTCCTTTTTAAATCTTTAAATATATATGTGCAAAGTTACAAACCTTAACAAGCATCGATATTCATTTACCAGCCCATTTAAATCTTAAAAATAAAAAATCGAGAATGAGAGGGGAGGAGGGGGTTCCCTTAATAGAATATTTCTCAATATTACTCAGTGCTAAAGTTTCAAAGAGTGTACAATCTAAACATTTGCATGTATGTGCCTGTACAATAAATGCCCACCATAAATGTTAAGTCGTTGAATGAATACATAGAATACAAAATACAATGCATGAGTACATTCATGCAGATGTCTACTTTGTGCCAACAGTCGGCACTTTTTTCCAATTGTCTGCATATTATGTTCCAATAGTCGGCATGCCGCATTTTAGTTAAACAAAAATTATATATTTAATAGATTTTCCATAAGTGTTGTAATGAAAAAGGTATATAAAATAATATTATTTATTAAAATATTACAATTATAAAACATGGTGCCAACTTTGTGAACCTGTTGTCCAATTCTCGGCATGGCTAAATAAGGCATTTCAGAGGTTAAAAAAATTTAAGATTAAACAATGTCTTGCATTATGTAAAACCACTCAAAACTAATTTTTTTATAAATTAATCGTTATTTAGAGCACTTATTTAACATTTTTTCCAATTTTGAGCCAAAATGATCAAAAATGTACTTATTATTCACCCACTATAGAACAACCTTAAAAATTTTTGTTTCTAAGGGCGACATCGATAAAAATATCACAATTCTAAATATTTTTTAATGATTTTAAAATTTAAAGTATTCTCCTCTATGTTCTTTTCAATTACGATTAAGATTGTTGTGAAAAATATATAATTTTAATATACACTGCGTATCATAACTATAGCCGCACCTTTAATTCAATTGGTATGTTAGTTGACAAATAAAATGGACCCATTAAGTTATGGTTCACAATAAAACGATCAAAAACATATATTATTCGGTGGCGGTTCCTTAATGGTCTTGGGAGCATTTTATAGCTACGCAGTGCTTTATTTGACATTTCCTTGTTGTCGGCTGAATTCAATGGAGTAGTTCAAGTCTTGGAAGACAAATTATTGCCATTTTGCGGAAGCAGCAACAATGAAGGACTCGTTTTTTAGCAGGATAACGCACCAGTTCATAAAAGTCGCCATACTCAAGTATGGTTAAAATTGAAAAATATTAAAATTTCCGACCAGAATCCGATCGAGAACATGTGTGGAATCTTGATTCATCGTGTCTATGCAGAAAACCGCCAATATCAAACTGTATTTTACCTCCAAGTGATTATCGATGAATGGCGGTCAATCGATGAAGACTTGCGAAAAATGTAAAAGAAAAATAAAATTAATTGGAATTTTTATACTTACCTGTGTATAAAAAATTTATATTTACAGTTGAAATGAAGAATGATGCATACCATTGAATACATATATTTACTTGCCGAAATTCGAAATAATCACCCTTATTCTGTATGTCGTCGTCGACACGAAACGACGTCGAAGAGAGTCGTATTTTGCAAATTGGTATTCCCTATGTCGCTGTCGACATTTATCGATAACTATTGAAACATTTTTGGTATTCCGTAACAATGTGTGACGACGACGATGTCGAAGATTTCTTCGTCATAGTTTTTGTTGACGACTAAAGCGTTTGAACATTTTTTTTTTATTTAAAAAAAAAACATGACCGGACACGAACAGGATACATCATTCTAGAATCTATTCAATACTTAATGCAAAATAAAGTGTAAATAAAGAAAAATATATGGGATCTATATATAAATCTAAACCGATGTTGACCTATGTCAATAGGACTCGTCTATGTGGAAATAAAATTTCATCCCAATTGGATGGATTTTTTCCACATTTCATCCCGTTCGGATCATAATGGTGACATGTAACTTGTTTAAAATAATACATGAATGGAGGGACATGCATAAATCGACTGAAAAATAATTCTATGTATGTACATATATACTAAAAAGTAACTATGGGTCTATCTCGTTTCTTTTTGGTCGTTGCAAACACGTTTCCCAAGACATAATGGCCTGTGCCACAGTGCGGTGAAGGATACAAACACATTTTTGCCCAAAAATATGCAACAACATTTTTGTTTTTATTGAAATTATCGATAAATAGTCGACATCGTCGCATGAGGGTTACAGAATACCAAATCAGTGTCGAAGTGATGTCGATGTCGATGCGAAGTGATGTCGAAAGAGAAACGTCGTCGACAACGACGACGACATATGGAATAGGGGTGAATATTGAATAAACTACAAAATCATAATTTATCTGTGGAACGTAAATAAAAGATTGGGGGAAAACTTTCTTTGGGACCTTAAACATTTTTACAGTGAGATGTATATGTTAGATGACTATATGTTTTCTATTATTTTCCCATGTAAATGTTACCAAAACTATTCTGTTAGACAATTCTGTTAATATGAAAGTTGGGAAGTATGTACTTAATTATAACTTCAAATTAAAAAGGACAAACATGCAATCAAAAATTAAAGGTATTTTGATTTCGCTTCAACGTAGATATTTAAAACTGGAAGTATCAATAAAAATGCCACAAGTTACTGCTCAAGACTGGACAGTTGCCGATTCGAAGCACATAAAATATATGTTAAATTTTCGGTTTTATTAATTTTAAAAATGTACGCAAGATATTAATAGTTCATCATTATTAACAATGTTTATGCATGTGTGTTATCATCTTCAACGAAGTCTTTCGCTTGTTCTCGAGTTACACAGTCTATGTGACTCACTTTATTTCTGAATCGAACGCCGTAGAATTTATGGGCATTTTCCAATAGCTCCGGTCGGAACGTAGTGGTTATGAATTGCGCTTTATCACTCAATTCGTGAATCATATCCGCTACTGCTTTTCTGTGTTGAGCATCCAAAGCCTACAATATAAAAATACAATTATTCAGTTATTATGCGCTGTAATATATATATATATATATATAAACAAAATGATCGAAAATTTTTTTGATGATAAACTAATACCATTATTTGTCTATTAAGAAACAAAGTAAAGCAGTCTTCAATTCTCAAAGTCCTCAATTTTTATAATAGTTTTGTTGCCACTCATTAAAATTTAAAAAAACAAAAAAGTTTTGTGCTGCTATACGCTCTAGAGAAGGGAGAAATTAAGAAGTGGTCATATTTGGATTTGATTGTCCTAAACATCTAGGAATTCTGCTTTGTTTGGAAGTCCTTTTTTCCATTTACACCCCTAAGGTTGGTTATTTCACGAAAGGTGTAATTTTATACGAATTGGAATTTGAAGCTTGAAAGGCTGGGCAGTGGCACAGAAAATGTTCTGACTTTTCCCTGTCTTCTCGAGACGCTCTACACCAGTTGCTTCCCTCGCATCCAATTTTGTTTTAGTGAGGCTGCATGCTGTTATGCCCTGTGAGAATACCGGTCTCTCTGCCGATTTACATTTTGTTTATCATTAAAATTTGCGTTGTCTTATCCTCATTTGGGTATCGATATAAAATTGTTGTGATTTTCCCTGCCCCCTGTCAATTCCAAAAAATTTTGTGGGTCTCCGTTGCACAAAAGTTTTGGCGTTATTTACATCTAGAAGTGCAACCGACCCACTTCTGGGTCTTGTTTACTATCTGTTATTACATTTATTATATTCTGACCACCCGTATATCTTGACCCTCCGCTTGTAAAATTGTATTGTGATCTGGTAGCCGAAGTGAAATATCGGTTTTTGGATCTTCAATTAAAAATACCATTTCCGACTTCCCAGATAGCTGGTACCCATCTATGTATCAACAGTTAACAGGGGCATGTTTGCTAGTATTGCGCTATTCCACGAGTCCCTGTCTGGTATCACAATTTCACATGTTGTTACTATTTTTATTTCAAGTATTCGGTCCGTCTCAAAATTACTAACTGAGGATCCGATTGTGGCATGTACAAAAATGTTTGCGTTCTATTACGGTTTCGATTCACTCGTTCATAGGTTTTAGTCTTAAAGCTGCGATGTTAGAGGAGGTGGTGCTGCCATGTTCATCTCTCAAACAATCAAACATAAAGTTTCGTGTAAGGTTTTGTCATATGGTGTAACGGAGTATATGTTTTGTGAAAATAAAGATGCGAATGGTCCTAAAACTAGAGATTATTAAATATTTACTAAAATAAACAAAAAATCTAAATAAAAACCCAAAAGTTAGAAATTAACTTTAAAGACACCTTTGAATTCGAAAGGCTTCGAAGAAGAAAGTCAGTATATTTTTGCAGTATGTAAGGAAATATCAATTTATTGTGAGAGGAGGTGATGTTGCCATGTTCATCTATCAAAGAATCAATCATAAAGTTTTGTGTAAGGTTTTGTCATATGGTGTAACGGAGTATGGGAGACTGGGGCACCTTCCGCACTTTTTTTAGAGCTTTATATCTCAGTACTTATTCAACATATATAAAAACTTTATGGCTGATTATTGTCCTCTGACACTTAATTATAAAAAATAGTACCAAAAAGATATAAAAAATAGTATTAGTTAAAAAATTTTACAGTTTTGTAAAAAATTCAAATTCGCCGAATGTGCCCCTACAGTCTCCCAGGCTAAAAACGGACATGGTCCAAAAGATGGTTTGGAGGTCTTCGTACTCGGCTTGATCTTCTTAGTGGTATAGATGCTTGCGAAGCATGACATAATGAGGCAACTGGTTCGTTATTAGTATTTGTGACCTGATGTTCTATTCGGATTTCGTCGAAATTGAGTTTTGGCTTTGGTGGTAACTCGGCGAACGTAACCGTCTTCTTTTCCTCTTCAACGCCAGATTTATAAAGTTGATTAATATGGCGTTTCAGCTCGTAGCCATTGTCTAGCTTAATTTTGTAATGCAGTTTACCAAATTTTGCCTTTACGGTTCCAAATTTCCAAATATTCTTATTTTTCTCGTACCAGCGCACCTGTACCCTCTCTCCCAGGCTTAATTGGCGTACCTTTCCAGGAGGTGAATCACCTGTTGATTTTTTCCATGGACGAATACCATCAAGTTGGATTCGTAGATCTCGACCCAGGTAACGTTGAGATGGGCTTTTACCCTCGGCCAGAGGCTTTGCCCTATACTGAAAAACAATTTGTTGGACTTTCTCAAATATGGTTGACTCGTCATCTTCCATCGCTTTTAGTTTGTATTTCAATGTTTGCACGTATCTCTCTGCAAGTCCATTCGTAGCAGGATGGCCTGGAGCTATAAATTTTTGAATGATGCCATTTTGAAGACAATACTCACGAAAGACAATACTCCATTCGTAGCAGGATGGCCTGGAGCTATAAATTTTTGAATGATGCCATTTTGAAGACAATACTCACGAAAGACAATACTCCATTCGTAGCAGGATGGCCTGGAGCTATAAATTTTTGAATGATGCCATTTTGAAGACAATACACGAAAGACAATACTCCATTCGTAGCAGGACTGGAGCTATAAATTTTTGAATGATGCCAAAGACAAATCACGAAAGACAATGCTCCATTCGTAGCAGGATGGCCTGGAGCTATAAATTTTTGAATGATGCCATTTTGAAGACAATACTCACGAAAACTTTTGCTTTGAAATATTAATGCATTGTCTGACACAAGAATGTGTGGAAGACCATGTGTAGCAAAAATGTTTTGGAGCAACGTGATGGTCGTTTCTGTTGTTGGCGCTTCTCTGATGACCCTTACTTCTGGCCATTTGGACTTTGCATCCACCAATACAAAAAAGAAATGGTTTTGGAAAGGCCCTGCATAGTCAATATGCACTCGTTGGAAGTTTTCACTTGGCTCTTCCCATTGGTGTGTGACGACTTTTGTAGGGCTTTTCTTGACATTGGCACAATATCGGCAAGATCGTACTAATTTTTCGATATCTGCGTCGATACCTTTCCAAAAACAAAATTTCCTCGCCAACTGCTTCATTTTTACAATACCAACGTGTGTATGATGCAATTCGTTGAGTATATTCGAACGTAGATTTGCTGGAATAACGACGCGATCACCCCGGAATATCACTCCGTCTTGCAGGGAAAGACTTGGGTCCAAGTTTTTCCGCTCAGGAGGTCATTCTTCAACTTAGACAGTTCAGGGTACCGTTCTGTCTCAGAAGCTATCGTTACGGCTGTAACCGATGGGGAAGATATTTGATTGATCGTTTGATCTTGGATATTTTCTCTTCTTCATCCAGAAAGTGATTGAATGTTGTGCTATTTTCTATGGGAGCTCGAGATAAACAATCTGCATTTACATTAGAGTAACTTCGGGTAATGTGGACCAGGCGTCTAATGTGGACCACCCCCATATCTAAGAAAATGCTTGAAATATGTCAATGCCGTCTTGATAAATGTTTTCCTAATTAGCGAAAACAAACATCAAGCTTGGTTTTTAATAAATAATTGGAAAGTTGAAAATTTAGTAGTAGAAAATGTAGCTCTGATTGTAAGTGTGATTTGAATATTTTTTGCAAAATAGTCGAACACTTGTTTTTTCTCGAATATAAAGAAGTTATGTGTTTTTCTTCTTTTCTTTAATAAAAATATACGTTTAGCAGTAATTATAATCGGCGATTTTTAATTTTTATTCATTTTTTGAAGCCGATAATTATTTTTAAATAAAAATAAAAATTGGGACCATTTAATGAGCAGGAGTTCGAAATATGGGCGTATTTAATATGCGAGGAGGTATTCTATCCTCTGAAAACTCGATATGCGAAATTACAGGTGCTTCGGTTGGATAATGAAGCAAGGACCTCAAAAATACCGGAAATGGGGCGGTACCCTTAAATGGGGGCTATTCCAAAACATAAACCCATATATTTTTGCATTCATTATTACCCAAGAGTGCAATAAATTGAAATTTATCACAACCAATCTACAACCTACCTTTAACTTACTGATCCTCATTACCCACATATAGTGGTCCACATTACCCGCCAAGTTATTTTTATTCGCAGTTCAATAATGCAATAACATTATTGTAGACAAATATAAATATTATTTGACCTGGAATATATTTAGCCAACTAATCTACTATATTCTGAAAACAATTTGTTTTTATTTTTTACCGTTGTTACGCCCATAATATCAAAAAATGAAAATGGTGGTCCACATTACACGAAGTTACTCTATTTTCACCTTTGCGATGTTCAACTTTGTAATTAAAATTTTGAAGAAATGATGCGTATCTAAGTAGTCTTGCTGACGTCATAGCTGGAGTTTTGGCGTTCTGGTGAAATATTCTTGATAGTGGACGGTTATCCGTTATTAAGGTAAAATGTCTTCCATACAAATATGTGTAGAATTTATCGACAGCGAAGATTATAGCCAATGCCTCACGATCTAACTGACTATAATTTCGTTCAGCCTTGGTTAAAGCTCGGGATATGAAAGCTACTGGGCGCTCTACTCCGTTTATAACGTGAGACAAAACAGCAGCTTCGTTGAAAGGGGTCAATACCCTATCAGCAACGATTTCGTTCTTGAGGTTTTCAAAAGCGTTTTCACACTTCGACGTCCATTCGAATTTCCTACCTTCTTCTAGAAGTTGTCGCAATGGATATGTTAGGGTTGATGCGTCAGGAATAAATTTGGAATAATAGGTTATCATTCCAAGAAACCTTCGTAGATCGTTGATGTTTTGAGGTCTGGGTAGCCTGACTATCGCTTCGATCTTGCTCTGGCATTTTGAAATTTTGTTGTAGCCGACAACATAGCCTAAATATTGAATTTCAGGTTTGAAAAATCCACACTTGCCTTTATTTAGATGCAAATTGTTTTGCTTTGGCCTTTCCAGGCACTTGATGAGACGATCTTCACATTCACTCAATGTAGCGCCATGGATGATGATGTCGCGAAATAGGAAATGGTCCCTTGTAGACCCTGTAGAATTTGATCCAA